TTCAATTCTACTTGCTTTGTCTCTCCTTGACTATTTTTCAGAAAGAATACAAAACGGAGCACGTGCTCTTTATGAGCTGCTTCAATTCAAAAAAAGAGAAAGTATGTTTATCTCGTCTTAGTCAAGCACTGTAACAACAGTTTCAGGTCTGTGGCTGAAAAGCAATGTAGCACTGGGGTGAGAAAGAGAAGATAAGTAGAAGCTGCAACATTCTGGACAGTTTTCATCTCTCACTGTTCCTTTTATCCTGCAGCACACGAGGTGTGGAGGTAAGGAACAACTCCCTTAGCGCTGGAGCCGCATAGGATGTTTGTCTGCAGTGCTGGAGCCGCAGGGGCCGTGCTTGGTGTTGATAGTGTGTCATAGGTGCCGTTCTAGGATGAGCTGGTGTTTCATCTGTGAATGTGGATGCTTTCCCTGACATTTGGTAAAGGTGGTGGCGTGAGATGCCTGAAGATTGCCTCTGCTGATACGATCTGAAGATGCAAAATAGGAACTTGATCTCCAAAGGCTAGTAGAGCTCAGTAAATCATTCTAGGGAGGTGAAGCGATGTTGTTTAACTCTAGAAGATACAATAGTTAGATCATGTTCAATGTCATCTTCGTTTGGGTACAGCACCCAGTACTGTTGTCATCACTTACCAAGGTTATACAGCCTCTCTTGGGCAGCTGCAAAGGTGTTTTTTAGAAGCAACCCGCAGGGCCAGTTGCAGTTTTGGTATTTGCTTTGGCCTTCATCCTTGCAGCTCGGGGATACCTGGGTCCTGGGTCAGGTTTCCGTTCCGTGATGCTGGGCTCGTCACTGATGCAAATAACTCTTGGTATTCCTAAAGAACAGCAGGAAACTCATGTGTACTGCCTTTGCTGTATCTATTGGAAGTGTGTGATCTGTCACACACACACATACATATATATAAAAATGTGTGTATATACACAAGTATGTGTATGCATACTCATACACACCAGTAGCAGGCTTTGTAGCCAAAGCTTTTTGAGAAGTTACCAGAACTGTCTGAACTATTAAATTCAGTGCTTAAAAAAAAAAAAAGGGAGATATATGATGCAAAAGCTTTGACACCTTTTCAGATGACGGCTGAGGAAAATGCAGGGAGGTTAAGGGCCTTTGCTAACGGGTTGCTGTGGGATCATAAATGAAGCGGAGTGCGGTATATAGGCTTCTACAAGGAGACATCCCCAAACAACCACGGATTCTGGCAAGTGCCTGTCACTGAGGTAACCTCACCAAAAAGCGGTTTAAGGCTGGAGAGCTCAAGGGCATCATACAGTGTTCACTCTAGAAGGGCTGAGCCCTGCCCTGGTGGGACAGCACCCAGGTCTGGCTCTGTCCAGCTCAGAGAGCAGTTTTGGAGCGATTCATCTTTTTTCCCCCTGAATTTCTGCCTCGTCTCTCTGCTGCAGTCTGCTCACCCAGCGAGAATTCTTGATTAGACAGGCAGTGGCCACTAATGTGGCAGAACTGTAGGAAAAAGATGCTAAAAAGGTGGAAGTTTGTCCTTCTGCAGTGAGAAACCTGGCCAAAGTGCCTCTAGAGAGCGAGAAGGGACGGTGGTGTCCAGGAAAAATGATGGTGAGGACAGGCAGGGTGCGTAAATAGATTGAATATTTAGTGTCGTGTGCCGAGTAGTTGTTGCAATGCCTTATTGAAACGAAAGACAAGTATCTTCTAGGAGCTGGTGCTGCAAAGAATAGGTTTATGAAGTTATTTCTGCTTGTTTTCCAACTGAGAGGAGAGTAGGTTTGGGAGCTTTTTGTTTGTTTGTAATATGGTTGGGCCCCTCTTGCTGAGTAAGTACATACCTTTGGGCTGCTACAAACATGTACAATCGTTTTCACCAATTTTTTTTTCATTATAGATTCCTCTCTGCAGCTTGTACTTAGCTAAGTGTCGTGGATATTGTAATAAATCAGTTGCTTGCATGCAAATATAGTTATTTCTTCTGCTTAAATCAAAAAGATGCTTTTGCAAAATATGTTTAGACTGCTCTTTTTAATCAAAAGGCATTAACTTTGATGTTACCAAGAATTCCAAAGCCCCTAACTCTTATCCCAGAACAGGTTTGAATGCAAGATAATCCATAAAGGATGGTTAGCATAAATTATATTCTTCAAAGTTAAATGCTATAGAAAAGAAAAGGTTAATCCTTGAAGCTAATTTTTATTCTGGGTATTAAGGCAAGAAGAGTTCTTCTGAACAGATTTGATTCATGTTTTTTACAGGTCATCAACTAGTATGTACATTTTTAATAAAAATGTGGTGTCTGTAATAAACTCCATTTGTAATCAACTAGCATCCACTTTGTTTCTAAGACCATTTTAATCCAGGATTTAACTGATGAGAGGCCTTGTATATTTGGTTTCAGCCATTTTGTTATTTATTTAACTGACAGTCTGGCTCAGAAGAATTTTCATCTTTACCACAATTGCACAAGGACAGGAAATGTCGAAGTCTTGAAACTGTGGCAACTTAAGTAAGTTCAGGTATTTCATAATCCCTTGCCCTCAAAACGTATACTTCTGCCACTGCGAAGAGAGGACTGTCAGCCTTCCAAACACGTAGTTGCTTTCAGCCCTGGGATGCTGCAAGACAGTAGGAACCTTTAAAACCTTACATGGTTAAAGCCCTTAAACAACACTAGTTCCTTACAAAGAAATTCTCTGGGCTTTTTTTTTTTTTTTTTTAATGTATAAATTTTACGATTCTCTCCCAGCTTTACATAATGAATTGGCAACAAGTAATAAGGATTATCATCCTTAGATGCAAAATGATTAAAGTGGTAATTCCAGTAGCGTGCAAGAATTTTTAAGCATAAAGGGTTTTATAAAATTGAGATTTCATTACTTGTCATTGTACCTCTTTTGCCTCAGACCTGTGGGAATTTGTTTTCTTCTGTTGTATGAGACAAAATCCATTTCCTACTATAAGCTGGAAACGTACCCTAACACTTCCCAGGGATCCTGGGTGTTGGCGATACCCTCCATCCCTACCTGCTCTGTGTCTGTGGCAGCTCTCGGTCTTTAAATGGGATAGCAGGTTGCTACGAGAGGCTGTGGGGTCTGGCAAGGACCAGGGGGGTGTGGACTTTCAAACTCAATGTCTCTTGTGTCGTTGCCTGAAATTGCAGAGGATTGAGCCTGATGATCCACTCAGCTATTTCTGGGTCTGGGCCAGGGTTGTGTTGCCAGTTACCGTTCTGAAGTACAAACAGCGTTGTTGCACTGACCGTTCCTCATACTGCACGGTGCCTATGAAATGCTTTAAAGCAACATTTTTTTAATGACTGTTACTGCACCTACAAACTTGATTACTTACACAGAGTAGCTGCAAGAGTGGGGTTTTTTCTTCAAGTAGCTTTGCAGACATTTTACTGTGGGCCTCTGCACCCTGAAACATCCAGCCCTGGCATAAGGACGACTCTGGTTGAACAGGTCCAGGTGAGTAAGAGCCAGCCCTGTCCCCTCACTGAGCTGCAGCAGACTCTGGTTAGGAAACAGCTGTGCAGAAAATGGACTGTCTGAAGTGTAAGTAATTTGTTAGACACCTCTGAGACAGGAGGCAAACATTATCTTCATCTTACAGATAGCAGAATTAAGACACAGATCTGGTTTCACAACTGTAGCTAAAATTCAGGTTACACGTTATTTTGCGTTAAATTCAGATAAATTACTTTTTTGAATTAGAAATCATCCAGAACAGCATTGCACCTAAAAACTTGAAAAATCATTTGATTTATTTGTTATATTTACACATTTGTCTTTAAGCTAAAATTTGAACGTTTTGGAATGTTTTTGTGGACTCAACTCTAGTTTTAGCCCTTCACACCTTTTTGCTATTTAACAAGTATTTTAAAAAGTAATTTCTTTCCTTCGCCCGGTAAGTATATCAGTGTTAAAAGTTCAACTATACAAAGTGCCTAGAAAAGCATTCAGCTCAGTAATTAGCCACTTCATATTTCTTTCCAATCTTTCTTAACCAAGTCCTGTAATAAATAAAGAAAGACTAATACCAACATGACAACGCTGTTTTTTCAAATTGTTCATTTACCAGTTTTAACAAGAATAAGAAATGAATACTTAATGTGGACATTGGTTTAAAAAAAAAAAAAAAAAAAAAAGAGAAACCAAACCCCCAAAACAGACAAAAAGGAGGACACAGAGGAACACACATGGAATGATGAAAAGGAACAATGATATTGCACAACTTCAGGTCTCTCTTCCCAGATTTTGATCCATGTAATTAGGTATGTATGAATTCAGCAAAAAATTGCATCCAGATAAATGAGTAGCAATTTGAGTGAATCTCTAGAGCTGTAGACTGCTTTCAATTCCTTCTGACTGCTACTTGAAGGTCTTCTCTAAGAGAGCAGGTTGCTGTCAGCTGCAGGGATAATAAATAAATCAACATATTGGTTCTACATTTTGCTGACCAACCCTTCAAAAAATTATCCATAATATGCACAATTCTTCTATATTGTAAGTACACTAAGTCGTCAAAGTACTTGGGTCTTTAAACACAACTTGTTGCATCAAGTACTCAAACTATATATGAAAAACAATCCAGAATATTCCCTGATTTGTTGTGGTTAACTTGAGATTGCATCTCATTTTGCAACACCGGGACTTCTCAATGTATCAGCGTTGCGCTGAATGTATAAAAGTCACAGTAGGGTACATCAAAGGGGGAGGGAGGGGACCCATAAACCAAAACATGCAAAGTGGATAAAAGGTCTTTACAGCTACAATCTTTGCTAGACCATCTCTTAACAAGCACATACTGTTTGCTACAGAAAGTAGCTAATTGTGTCATTCTGGCTATAGCAGTACTGTTTTCCCCCTCAACTGCTAGTATGACAGTCTGTGTTTATATAAATTTTGCATTTATGTGCAGAACAAAATATATTTTTCTCATATCTGATTTCGTATCTGCTCGGTGGACTGATGTGTCAGCCAGCAGGGCTTAACAGATAGATTTAATACAGGAGACTGAGATACAGTATGTTTATTCTTAACTTCTGATAACCTAAGAACTACAAGAACGAGAGATGCAGTATCCATTTACTATGATCAGAAGACAACCATTTTTAGGGAGAAAAAAGTAGAATAAGTGATCAATGCTAACTCTACATTAGTTCCAAAATTATTAATTTTTTTTTCAGTCATGGTAGCTTAACTATTCATTGTCCATCTGGCCCACTTTTAACCTCATCGAGTTAAAGGTGACAAAGTTTAAGGACTGTTGTTTCATCATAACCGAAGCAAGTTATAAAAACCATGAAACCATAATTTCACTGCAGGACTTGTTTCGTATCTTCATATTCCACATCACTTGTAGAAAAGGGATAATGCATCTCAGTTTGCTTACAAGCTAGGAGATCACTTTGAAGTCTGCATATTCCTAACTGCAAACAAAATATAGCACTTTTAACAGGTTATAAATAAACTGGTTTTCAAGCATAGAGCCAGCCCAACAATAACAATACACTATTAAAAAGACCTAAGGCAATGAATTCCATCTCCAATGGAAAAAACAAAAAAAAAAGAAAAAGAACTGTGCAAACAAGCTTAAAACTATTTCTTTGTGCCAGTGTTATAAAATGTAGATTTCAATAAAGCCTTGACCCAAATGCCAGGACTTGTGAAAAGAATCAGAACAAAATTGGTTACTTTATTTAGGAAAAAAATACTCTTATCTTGCTGCTAATAAAATCGGATACACGCAGTTTAAACATTTACAGTTGCTGTAACACTTTACACAATTCCTATATATGGGTGTAAGAACAAACATTAGAAGACAATGGTGGGTCAAGGCTTTACATTAAAAATAACAACCTACTTTTTCTATAGTCTCTAAAATACTATGGTTTTTCCAATATTTGCAGCCATTCAGGAATATTTTTTATTTATTTATTAGGAAATGTATACTTTGTGCACGATCTTAATTCCTAATTCCTGGCTCTTTGGGCTGAATGACAAAAGGATCAAACCCATTAAAGTGGATGGTCTCCTCGAAGGTTCAGTGGAGAAACCCTGGCTCAGTTAGTCTCATACGATGAAAGCAGTGCTGCATCCACTGGCTCCATGCAGGATGGACAGGTAAAGGATCTCATCAACCAGTCATCTATACAGTCCAGGTGGTAAATGTGCATGCACGGCAGAAATCGGATAGGGTCCCCATAAACAAAGTCCATCATACAAATGACACATCTGGGGGAGGAAAAAAAATAATCAGAAAAATATTTAAGCTCCTGTTACCATACTGGAAATGAAAAGTAGTGCAATCTCTACTCCTGGACATGTTTGAGTCAAACAAACTTTCAGCACTTGTAGATACTGTGAGGAGTTCTTAGCTCGGTCAGTGCTGGCTCCACCAAGCACTAGATTTTTTTGGTGTTTCCTTTGTGGTACGTGTGCCCATGGTTACGTTAGCGAGGGCAGGAAGCCTTCTGTAGGCACGGGGGGGCCGGGGGCAGGGGACAGCTCAGCAGAGTGCAGAAAATTAGAAATGGTAAAAGGGAGCCATGAAGGTGAGGAAGTAACATGAAATTATTTCCCCGTGAAGAGAGGATAAAAAGCAAAAGACCTGTAAGGGCATGAATTAGCTGGCTTGGGAAAGTAAGTTTCCCCTGTAACAGGAAAACACGCAAGGATAAAGGAAAAAGCCTTCTGCATGGTAATTTTTTTTCCAGAAAGCTACATTAAATTACAGACCCTGAAAATAAGGCAAGAACGGGAGGACGAGATCAGGTTTCCCAGGGCAATATGATAAACCAACACAGCAGCCACATTAGTTCAGTTAGGTTTCTGTAACTTACTCTCTGATCTTCTTCTCGGAGCCGTCTCTTCCCGGATCATAGACTCCTTTAGGTAGATGCTGAATAAGGCCTATCCTCTGCGCTATTCTGATTTGTTCCTCTTCTGTCAGCTGTGTTGCTAGCCGAGTCTGGCTAGGAGTCGGGTGATAAACAGGAACAGGGACCTGCTCCTAAAATTAAAATATTTCAGTTAAAAAAATAAAAAAAAAAAACAAAACCAATACCCCACAGAGGCATTCCTAGCATCTCGTTGCACACTACAGGCAACGTATTTAACTTTTTCTCTCTTAGTCCTACAAATGTTTGTGTGATCTGCCACTCCCACTTTGCAATTTTGGGGCTATAATTATATGGAGAATGGAATAAAGAATTGAGGCCAGTATCTTGAGCAAGGAGCTGCTCGTGGTTCTCTGAAAAAGCTTTTTATCTCCAGGAATTGTTCATGCATGAAATACACGTACAACAAACTCCACGTGACGGCAGGCAAATAAACCTACTGGGTGAACTGCTGAGATACCAAATTGACCAACAGAATGGCTGAGGAAGAGCCTCCGGTATTTGCAACAAAAAGTAGATTATTTTTTTTTTCTTTTTACATTTAGGAAGAATTATTTGCAAAGATGAGGACAGTGCCTATCATTAAGTGTTATAGACAGGAAGGTTTTACTGGTTCTGTAGTAACAAAACTTATGTGAACTGTTCTGCACCACACAGGCTCCAACCAAGAACTGTAGATTTAATTCTTGTGCGTTTAAAAAATGTCACCTGACCAATAAAAAGTATAGTTTCAGTAAGTAATCAAAGTTTTATTAATGTAGGAGAACAAATGTATGATTTTACAAATTCTCCCAAGCTGGACTTCAACTGCTGTATGTTTAAAGTACATGTTTCCCAAACAAAAAATAGGCCACACATAGGTATTCCACAGTCCTTCCTCTGCCACGTTCTCAGAAGGTTCTCTTGGATACTAACGAACTTTAGATTAGGTATTTTCACTAACATTTATATTAACATAGTACTTATTTGACTTGCCTTTAAAGCATTTTTTTGGACATAAATACCAATTTTGAACAGGAGATACTATTAGGACAGTATTGGCCTAGTTAGTTAAGTTAATAGAGAGGCAATTTCTTGCAATAGGCCTATTTTAACAGTACTTCTTAAACAGCAGAAAAAAATTCAACTTATAGATGCATTCTGAAAATAAACCTGGTGCATCAGGGACACAATAGCATCGATTCCTCTGTTTGAAAAATGCAAGAGTTGATGTTTCAGAGGACATTGCTGCAGAACAAGCAGGCTGCGGGAGCGCGCGCCGCTGCACCGCATGAAGCGCTGATGCAGCTCCCATCACCTCCGACAAAGGTCCCACTGCCAAACTGCTGCCGCTCGTCACCGATATGGGGAAGACCTGAGCTTTGCTGCCTGTGACGGAGCAACGTGCACGTCCTGGGACCGCTGTGGGCACCTCCAGGTATTTCTAGCAGCAGGAACACAGCTGCGTTCCCCTCTCCAGTTCCCTCTTTGCCTTTTGGCCTGCTCCAGCAATCGTCTAGTGCAGCGTTCAACTGACACCAACACCCGGCAAAGTCCAGATATGGGGTTTAACACATGTAATACTGCGCTTGTAAAACCTGATAAAGCGATTCTTCTTTCACTGCTAGGAAGCATGGCAAACAAAGACAGGGCTCCTGGAAGGCTGGGGGAAAGCAGCCCAAGGAGCACGCAGCCTCTCACCAGCCAGCGCCCAGCAGCAGAAGTCCTTGCTTATGAGAAATGCTAATCAAAAATACAAGTCTGCCTGGCAGTTCTTTTAACACAATGCCTACCACTTGCAATTCAGCTGTGGGCTAAAATTCGGTTTTCTCTTAGTTTAGCTACACTAGGATTTCCCCCTCCAGTTGTCTAGCAGAACTCAGAGGAATTATGAGCAGGTTCAAAAGACAAAATGCCAGTGGTTCTGTAAGTTTGATTAATTTCCTGACTACTCTAAACTGTATTTCACAGAATCACAGATGTCTTCTAGATCAGCTGCCTTTTAAATGGTTTAAATTATCTAAAGTATTCTCTAATCATTGTCTGGATAGGGAAAAGCACCAGCTGAAGCTAGGGCTGACCTCTCAGATATAATAGCATTCATGAAGTGGCTCTGCAACCTTTGGTGCCAGCAAAATAAAGCATATTTTCCCCTTCCAAACGTTGCAGACCCTCTGCACTGAACACATCAGCTTGAGGCAGAGCCCAGTCCTGGTTTTATGAATTTAACACCACGAACTATCGGTACACACACACACACCCCAAGGCTTCGCTATACTTCTTTGGACAGATTATTAAATCAAAAGCAGAAGCCATTGCTGCTCCTTTATTTGTCACAAAGCCAAACAGAACACTTTGCATCTGGAGAGACATGCACCCTCCTTCCCATCTCAGAAAAGAGGAGGAGCAGGATAACTAACCACGTGCACGGCCCAGGTTGGTGCTAATGAGGGCAGAAGGAGGGTGGCTACGGTATTTCATACAGCTCCCCTTAGCAAAAGCATGACTGCAAAGGAGAATGCAGAAATAGAAGGAAAGGCAGAAACAGGAGGAAGAAAAAAGATCCAAAAACCTCTCAAAATGTCCGAGAGTAGCAATGGCAAGTGATAGTGCATACCTACAGCAGAAGAACAGCAAACTGACCATCTCAGCAGAAACTATACAGCAAAAGGAAACTACAATTAAGTAAGAATCTGTTGCAAGTTAAAACTATCGCATTTGGACAACTCTGAAACGATAAATCAATCATGCTATCCAACCAATGACTGCTTCAGTTAAGTTTTGGACAGTAAATTAACACAACTTTACAGCCTGTAATAGGCCAAACAAAACCAAAAACCGCATTCCCTTGTTCTAGTCTTTTACAGGCGCTTGCTGCCAGCGGCCACCGAGGCACTACATACCTGGGCGACCCATTTCGGCATTACTGCAGTGCCCCTCTCCTGCCGGTGTCATCTTCCCTGAGGAGACCTGAAGAACCGGGGCTCCATGGACCCCCAGGGTTCTTTCCCGTGCCAAGTTCACAAGTGCTTTCCCAACCACCAGCGCTGTATGGAAACATTCCTCCTTTTGGCATCCTGTCTCAGGTTCCCTCCCCGCAGAGCCACCACCCTGTGCCGCATGTCTGACATAACCAATTAAGGCAAGAATTTATAGTCACCAGCTGTGGGCTTCTACAATTTCACATACTAGACAAGAATTTCTTGTCAGATGAGTAAATCTGAGTGAAAATGGTGCTGTCTTTCACCAGAACGTATTCGCACTCGTGAATATAAAAAATTGAGATTGGTGTGGCTGCCAAGCTCTCGTGAAAAATGCATAAATTGCACTACTGTAAATAAAAACGGGTGACCCCTCAATACCCATGATCCAGTGCACTTCCTTAGCACGCTGTCTGGTGGCACTTTGATCTCGCCTCCTGATTACTATTAAAAGCATGCCCAAACTAAGCTAGCAGTCCCCTGGATACAAACATACCAGTAAAATGGAAGAACACAGCCGTGTACATTGCGGACAGTCAGATTATAGGGTACACCGACAATCGCCTTTTCAAACCAGTCCTCCCCCCTCCAACAGATAAAAAGAAAAGGTGTGCTTATACCTGTACGATTCTACGAATATTTTAAACTATTTATTCATGGGAATATGAAAGCCCAGATTTCTCCGTCTCAGTTCACTGAAGTGACACGCGGTCAAGATAAGAGATGGAGCAGACTGCATGAAGTGCTCCCTCAAGGGGACCCTGACCCCCACCCACCAGTCAAGCCGGGCTCCTCCAGCCCCGCCGGCAGGCACCCCGGCTGGCCCCGCACACAGCCGCATTGCCGCACCCGCAGCTGCATCCTCTGGTTTCTCCCCTACCAAATCTCTGAAGCATTTTTGGAAGTTAAGCTCATCCGACAATAATTTCAAGCTGCCCGTAAGGGCAGAGTGCAGCCCTGCCTGCGTGGGTTTATCACCCCTTTGCAAATCTTTCTCACTTTACAATGGCTCCTTTTATCCCCCCAGGTCCCAGGCAAGGTCCCGCTCACTCCAGCGTGGATATTCAAGGGTAACGACATGAGGATTTGAGACTTCAGTCAACTTACATTTGCAGCTAGGGGCCCCTGACATGTATATATATATATTAAAAAGATTGTATTACCCAAGTGATTATTATTTTACTCCAAAGACATGCATGAATTTATTGCTTTGGTGTCTCACTTTTCCCTTATCTACCACGGAAAATGCTTTTGCAGACAAAATTATGCAATATTGACTTTCTAGCCAAAGTCTGTGTTGTTTATCATTTGATAAAGACATCAGGCATTTCAAACTAAGATGAAATGTCACGTTAACTCTAGTGCTCCATGCAAAAAAAAAAAACCCTAAAAAAGGCCAAAACAAATAATCAAAACCACATATTAGTGTCAGGCAACGCAATAAAAATCACTTTCTGGCACTTAATTTGCTTTAATCAATTACTTTTTCCCCATATGAATTTAGTAATGATGAAATACCTCAGACAGCCACAGTCCTGGAGATACACAGCTTTTTTCTTGTTCACAAAGTGGTGTCAGCACAAGTTTCCCTGGCTTTCTGTGCACAGAAATCACTCCTTCCTAATGGTTATTCAGCCCTTAAATAACAGTACTAATTTAGACTCGAGGGCTACAGCAGGGTTTGTGTCTCCATCTCACCCCGGCTCCTCCTCCTTGGGGGGACCATAGAGGGCATCTGGAGGTCTGCATTTTTCACTTCTAATGAAAATAAACATTTTTCACACATGGCTTAAAAGGCCCAGACACTGTGTTTCTGCATGCAGATTCCCAAGCGTGCTTTGGGTTCTCGCCTAGAAAAAGGAGGTTTCATCAAGCACAATTTTTAGTTTGAAGTTTTTCTCATCAATGCTACTTACCTTGGTTACTTATGCTGCTGTAAATCTGCTTTTCTCTTGTTTTACAGCATTTTCATCTTGTTTTTGCAAGTGCAATGAATTTGTAATACTCTGAAAACAGGTCAGTGGTAGATCAGAAACTCTTAATCCCTGGATAAAGATTATTTTAAGATCCCTCTACGCCACATATCAGCAGTATGTTATCAGGGCTTTTGTTTGTTTGTTGTTTTTAATAATTGCACCAACATGCACAAATTATCCTTTCAGGAAGGTCAAAGGTGAGATGAATAATTCATAACATCTAATAGTTCCAGAGGTTAAAGCTTCACTGCTCTCCCCGAGATCCTGTCTACAGCCACCTGCCTTCCACTGTTGACCGCTTCCCTCAGTTTCCATCCCTAAATTTTATTCCTCATCTAATCCAATGCTCTCAGTGTGTCTCACCCAGGGATATTTATTTGCATTTTAACACCAGATCAACAGCATATCTGTTAATTCAGTCCCACAAAGACGACAAACGTCTTCCTAGCCATGTTTATCCAGTCTTTTTTACATTTTTTAAATGCCAGTAGGTACAGCGCTTATGCTCCTTGCAGTTGCTGCCTAATTAATTAATGCAAATATAACAGTTCAATTTGAATTTCCCCAGCCGTTCCCACAGCTTTTTTTTTTTTTTTTGAAATCCCTTCAATATGCAAATGTCTTTCTTGCAACGTGCTGTCTAGAAGCAGCTGCGCTGCTTCCCATACAGCTGCATCTGGGCCACATACGCTTTGCTGCTCACCAGCCCTCAAACACCGATGGGAGAAGCGGCGTGGCCTTTCTGCAGCTCTACCAGCCCTGCCGCATCGCTGCCTATTACGGCGCTCATCATCACCATGCGCATCCTTCAGCCTTGCTGCTTCCCAGTTTTCTCACCTCTAAGGTGAGGTGCTTAGCAGGAAGCCTAAATAACTAATCTAGACAAGAACAACTTCAGCTTATAGATGTAAAGTCAGGAGGTGAGGAAAAAAAAAAATTGTGCTTTTGGGTTGGTTTTTTTTTGGTTGGTTGGTTGTTGGGGTTTTTTTGCAAAATCCCTGCTGAATTTTATGAAAATTTCTTTTCTTGCTACTTTATTACTCATAAGGAACTCGCTGGGATGACGGTGCAGGGGCCTTTTCTGTGAATATCATTCCGATCTGGGTGAAAAGACTCAAACTCCATCCGTATGTGAATACACACTCTGAAATAATATCCTCCCCCAAGACGTATTACTGTAAAACCACTCACCATTATAATGTGCATTATACGACAACTACAGCTTACTTTAATAATCCTTAGAATATTACAAGCAGCCTGCCAACTGTAAAAACCTTTTTCTGCCATACAGAAGAGAACATTTCATTTATAAAGCTGAATACCAGTTGCTATAAAATATCATGTAATGGTATATACCGTTACCCAATCTTTTATATTCCTGCTTCCCAGTAGCCAGTCAGTATAAATAACTCAAGAGCTGAACACTTGCGCTAAAATGTTCTTTTGAAAGAAAAATCCCCTCCTCTCACCACTCCCACTTGGAGGAGACACCTGGGACAGACAACCAGATCAGACACAGACGCGTGCACAAGAGGAGCCGTTCTGGCAAAAGCTGGAATCGAAAGCATGGGTTTGTCCAGCAGACCCCGTTCACTTAACAGTAATATAGTCAGAAAATAGATTAAAACATTAAATTAACACCGTATTAAGCAAAACTGTAACGGATCCTTTACAAAATTTTCAAGCATGCCAAAGACTGATTCCCTTTGTTTCTGTGAGAAGTGTGAAGATCCAAGTAGTCCTTTCCCAACAAGTAACAGATTCATCATGCCACTCTACTAAACACACGCTCACCTTTCAGATACGGTTCCAAGTCGTTGCATTTCTCAGGATTCCCACATTCCTCCCTAAGGAGACTAATCACACAATTTAGATTTTGAATGTATATTTGATTCATCTGGAACTTTAAGGCCAATGTGTGTTTACCTCATTTTTAAGATTTATTAAGGGATTGTTCTGTTACCACTGCTTGCTGAGGAGAGCTTACTTTAATTGTTCGCGATCATTTTAAACAAAACCACTTTAATTTTACTTTCCTTTGTTTGATATATTCCTTGATAAGTTTGACAGCTCTGAAGGACAAAAAACCCCACCCCACAACATAAGAAATTTCACATCTCAGTTTTTCCTTTGAAATTGTATTATCATGTAAATAAACGTGTGCACTAGACGGGAGGTCCATAGCCAGCAGGAGAGCAACACTCCAAAACCCAGCAAGGGCTCCCCTGCACCTGGGATGCATTCAGGTTTGTACACGCTTCCCACCAGGGCGCTCCTAAGGGAAGATTACTAAGAATTCTGGTGTTGTAGGAACTGGGCATTGTAGATATGGTCAGTAATTAATCTAACAACAGACTAAGGAAACAGTCTGTAACAGGGGAGAGAAACCTGCAGAACCTGCACGGTGTTTCTCCAGCTGCTGACACCAATTAAGAAGCAACACGCGGTTTGAGCTATGTATCATTTCAGAGGAAGGTGTTTTTGGTGAAAGCCATGGTGGTTCTGCAGCGATGACACAGCCTCATTTAGGCTATTACTAAAAGTTTAAAATTGTCCTTTCAAGTTTTCACAATTATTCCATTGAAATTACTGAGAAATAAATGTATCTGAAGACTTGGAAAAGATAAGCAGCCATGAAAGAGACTGAGTCCTGGCTACCAACTTTTAAAATATCACCTGTCCCCTCAGCTCAGCTTTGCCACCAAAAATAGGGCTGGGGCGGAGAGAAAGCAGGTACAAGCTAGATGCATCCTGCTTGCTGCTTTCCTAGACAGTGACAAGGGCTATTTGGAAAAAGGGACTTCGTTTTCAAGCTCTTACCTGTGCTGTCACACAAAACCAAAAAAGCTACCTACTGCCAAGATAAATAGCTGATGGTGCCTTTTTCAGCTTGGGCAGTGCAAACCCAGCACTACCTGGCAGATGGGAGTCACCTGCTGCTCTGTAGAGTCACCTGCTCTGAAATTTGATTAACCATCAATGCAAACCTAAATACAAAAGATTAGCAAGAAGGAGTTATAGGGGAAAAGCAGTAATTAAAAAGCAGTAATTAATCCCTGCAAGCACAATCTCCTGACACAACCAGACAGTTTTTATATTTCCAGGCTGCACAGCAGGTTTCTCTGACTCGAGGGCCACGTCCTTGGGTACAGCTCCACTAACTGAATTCTTGTTTGCCAGCTTCGTGTTGGTTTTAGCTCTCCTTGTTCCTTTCTCCAGTGATCCCATTGAACATCAGGGTGTGAATTTCTCAGGAAAGTGGGTAACATATACACCGACACATCCCGGACCATCAAACCGCTCACCAGACAACTGACTCCATCTCTCCAGACAGCCCCACTGACAGCTCCACTTACAGCATCAGGCCACAACTTCTGAGAGATAACAAAGTCCTCTTATTACAGCTCCTAGCATGTTTATTTTAATAGTTTGTTGGGTTTGTTTGGGGTTTTCTTCGTTAGTTTGTGGGGTTTTTTAATACAGGGAGGGAAAAGATCCATAAACAATTTCCAAAAAATGCATGCTTTTCTGTCAAGCTGCTGCAGTAAGCAAAGCCAGAAAAGAATAGTTGCCCTTAAGTGTTAAGTTAAGGACACGCGGGCACAAAACGCAGCCTCCTGAGACATGTACACCCCGAGGACTACAAAGCAAAGCAGCTGGGTAAGGAGAAAATCTAGCAGAAGGGGACAGCATCCATTTCTGCAGCTGGTGGTAGAAGAACAGCACATGTACGCAGATCGTCCTACCCCATAAGCAAACCACATCATCTGCATTATTGCTACACGTTCTCTCCTACTTAAGCCAAGTGGTTATCTTTGCAGAAACCCCTTCTTTGCCCTGGCAAGCACAGACAGTTATTATAGTGCTATGGCTATGTTAAACATA